GACTGGAGGTCAAGAGTCAAAGAAAAAAGAGAAAAGAAACAACGTGATAGTAAGAACATGAACTTACGTTAGGCATTTCCAACACTATCCGGTCTTTGATCCGCCGCCAATTCACCTTGCCTTCACTTTCCACGATGGGAACCTAAGATGGAAGATTCTTGAAAACTGTTTTCTGGGACGACCAAAACCACAATCACTGACCTCGCGCACAAAAACATCGGTTTGTGAGCATATTAATTTATCACCGCACTGTGTATTGAAGACGGCAATCTACAAAACTTACAAAGATGTGGATATATGAGTAAAGTAACAAAAAAATTGTAGTTGTAGCACCTATGCAGATACCAATAAAACCAGTAAGAAAAAACCATTACCTGCCTTCCTTCGTACGCAACAGCGATCAAGGACTTGTTGGCAACGGGACAAAACGCTACGGAAGTGACTGGACCACCAACTTTATATGTCTAAATTCGAAAATTTTCAAAAGGAATAAATAAAATTGGAAATGCAGACGCCAACCTTTATACATCGGCCCGAGCCCAACATCCAAAATCGGACAGTTCCATCTTCTCCTCCGGAAACAAGCAACTCACCGCGTTCTGGTTCCACACTTATAGACCGAACTTGACCAACATGACCACGCATATACTGATGAAAGAAAAAATAAGTGTATATGAGTACGACATACCAAGAAGGATGAACTTACGAACGCCAAAGTAGTGGGAAACGGTCTGAGATCATTTGGATTTGGCAAATCAGGCAAAAGCTCTGAAGGATCAACTTGAAGCTGAAAAATAAACTTTTTTGAAGTTGGTAGAAGTATATCCAAAGCCTACTTTCATTTTGATCTTCCTAGGAGCCAGGTAGAGATCAAGACAACGTTCGAATCGTTCCGTAAGGAACTTATCATACTGTGGCACCTATAAAATAGTTGAACAAATAAGCAATTGTCCTTAATTTTTTTTTCGAACTAACCTTTCGCAAAGCATCGTATTTTTGGGGAACAAATTGCAGTCGTCGATCTTCTGGTTCGGCTTCTTCCCATCTAAACAAAACAACCTGTCAACGTCTGAACACCAAAACACAAAAAATGGATT